AACCCCACAAAAAAAAAAAAAAAAAAAAAAAACCAAAAAACGAAAGAAAGAAAGAAAGAAATCCAAATCGCAGGCTGCATCCCAGACCTATTGACTCAGCATCTCTAGTGCTGGGGCCCAGAAATGTGCTTTAACAAGATTCCCAGGAGATTCTTTTGGATGTTCAAATTTTAGGACTATTTTTCTATTATACAGCTTTTAAATTAGCTGAGCTCAATTCTCCATGGGTCACAACTGACTCTGTATGTGTTTGTGTGTGTGTGTGTGTGTGTGTGTGTGTGTGTATGTGTTAGTTAATGTGCAGGCAATTTTGCAAAAATACATCACATTGAGTGTCAGGACTACACACAGGTTTGCTTTGAAGCTTTCATGGGTGTGCTGCCAAACTGTCACTGTACCCAATCTGTCTCCACCCCTTCCCATGCAGCACTCTCTAGTTTCTCCCCCTCACTGTCCTGACTGCTGCACTCCAGCTGTGCTGGTGGAGTGGGCATTCCCAATACCACCTGCAAAGTCCCAAGGCTTTCCACATCTCCAGCTTTTCCCTGGCTATTCCTTTTGCACAGGATATATGTCTTCCTGTTTTTACTGCATGTTTCACTTAGTCTTCCACATTTAGTGAACCTCAGACTCCTAAGTCAGAATAGTGGGCTTCTGCAGAGACCTGGTAGGCAAAAAAGTAGCTATTACTCTTCTCATCTACATATTTTTCTCTGCATCTGTTAAAATGTTGATCACTTAAGTGATAATGCTAGGTTTTTCTGAATGTCTCTCTCTTTTCCCACTAGACTGAGGGCCTCTGAGAGATAGGAGCTGTGCCCATGTGTCTCCTAGTGTAGTGCTTCATACCCAACAGTTGTCCTAGAATGGAACTGAGAGGCTGTGCTTATGTATTTCTTCCTCCTTGATGAATTGGACTGTATAATTCACCTAAGATTCACCTACTCATATACAGTTTGTTCTTTGAGGCTCCTCAAGCTTCAGAACTGTGAGTTTTGTGGGGCACAGGTAAAGACAAAATGAAAGGTGATTGTCCTAAAGTGCAAGGTTTGAGTGGCAGCTGCTTCAAGTAACCTTCTCTTTGATGATGTCCTTGATGCTAAGTCTGTAAAGTAGGAGATGAAATGAGAGGACAGCACATAGGATCTAGATGTAAAGCCAATCTCCATTTTAATTTTAAAATGCATTGAAACTTCCAGGACACAGTCAAGTTTATGAAAGAAAGGAATTAATTCTGACTCATGAATCCAAACCACAGGTAAGAAACACATTCAGTTATGTATTATAGCATATGGCACTTTACTGAGTTTTTCTGATGTTTTTCTTTCTGAACTCTAATTACTGTTAACTTTTCTAACAACATAACATTTTCAGAGCTAGGAGGACAGTATAGATCCTTTAGTACAACAGCTATAACTGATAGATAAGATTCGGCACTCTGTCTCATAACCAGCAGAGATTAGATTGTCACTCAGGGATTGTAAAGTCAAGGGAAGGCTATGTTTGTATATAGCCACATGAACATTCCCTAACTAGAGTTAACATAAATTGAAGACACAATACAGTGCATTGCAAAGTTGGTTCAGGAACTACTCTTGTATTTAGAACTCAGAAAAGGCTTTCAGGACAGTATGTCTTTTATTAGAAAGCCTGACCTCAGGTCAGGCTCTGACACCCTCTCTGACTGATCTGAGACTGATCTTTGTCTTTTTTGAGCAGCACAGAATGCAGTTTTTTCCTCTGAGAGCTCCTGAGCA